TTTTTTTTTTTTATGTTGGCATTAGGATTTTTTATTTTTAGATTTCCCTGTTGAGTTTCCTTATGGTTGTTTTCCCCTTATTTTGGTTTGATATTTTCGTTTTACACGTCCGTGTCCCCTTTTTTTGTGCCCCATTAGGCTATTCCTTGCTGCCAGCATCCCTTCAGCCTTGGCTCTCCACTGTTATCACTTCCCTGTTTAGACCAGAATCCCACCCACATCTCCCCAGCCACTATTTTAATTTTTAGTGACTTTTCCCCAAATATTTTCTTGAAAAGGTTTTCTTCAGTGTCGCTCTTGGATCTCTCGTGCTTTGACTCAAGACATTCCATCATTATCCCTAATTTCTTTTCTTTTCACCAAGAATTCCAACCACCACTGTGCACAATACCTTTGTTACGGTACGTTTGTTACCAATAAATACATTTTTGCGAACTGTAATTTGTAACCATCCGTACAGTATATATACAGGTTCCTTTTATAAATTCTTGGAAGTCATTAACGATGAAGTCAAGAAAATGTAGTGCTCCCATGGTTGTGTAATCTGCTACTACATTAAAACACTTTTTTTATTCATCCACTTAGACAAATAGATAGTTGTGGTATCCAAAAGTAGTGAAAAAAAAAATAATGTCTATGTGTTTACTAAATAACATCTATATATTAATTTTTATATATTAATTATTCCCGTTCATTAGTTCTCTTTTTTCTTCTCTTTTTTTCTGAGATGTAAACAAAAAGAATATTTATATATTAATCTTTACATAAAAATTTCCTAATATTAATTTTATTTTTGGATAAGGATATTTAGGTTTAATCTGGAAGGAAAAAAAAAATTAGTAGAGTACAAGAGAATAGAATAAGGGTATTTAAATAATTTTATTTATACATCTATCATTTTTTTTAGCACGCTGACTTCAAAAAATTCTTTTATTTTAAATCATTAAATTAATTTTTCATTCACTCATATATACAATCAAATTTAATTGTCTCACCTTTTAAGTTAGTGTAATCTAATATAATTATGTCATTTTTTATTTTAATAGGTTAATAAATGCTGATATTTCAATTCTACCATTTTCTTCAAAGTGATCCAACTGCATTAAAATCTTTTCGTTTAATTATAAACACGAGTGAAAATGAAAAAATAAGTTCTAGTTATAATAAATGAAGTTTTTTTTATCATAAATGAAGTCTTTTTATCATTGTAAATAAATAAAATGTTATAACTAGTTCGAGTGAAAGAAGTATAAAGAAATCTGAGCACAATACCCAATCATCAATTGAGTTAAGTGTACTAAGATATATACTAAAGATTCACTTACATATATATATATGTATGGATATATATATATACACACGACACTTGTTGGATAACATTGTGTAAACTCCTTTTTTAATTTTAAAAGCTTTTCCTTCGAGAAATACCAATGAAATTTTTAGTTTCACAAAACATTCAAGTACAGTACAAGAACTGATCAGCAATAAGGAAAACTGTGATGGTGATGGATGCCAATTTAACTTTATTGAAATCTGAATCTGTGGTTAATATATAGGAAAAAAAGTCAAGTAGATTACATTTTACCGAGTCGAAGAAGTCTTTTAATTTTTGCTTTGCTTCCTCCCAATCCTCCTGCCTACCAGAAAAAAAATATTATGTTCTCAATTTAACAGTAGAAAAAATAT